CTGGGCAAGCCACGGCTAAGTCACCCAGCGCTTCCAGCGTTGCATGGCCCCAGGAAATCCTGGCTGAGCCAACCCGGGTTTCCCGGGTCGCGTGAAGCAACCGGGGCTTCCTGGTTGTGCGAACCCAGGAAATGGTGGCGAAAACCCGTAAGGCTTTCCGCGATGCAGGGACCTGGCCCGCTGTTGCTTTTTTAATAAACGGTGGCTAAACAAAGCAGGTTTGGGTTTGTTGTGGGGAGGTCAGCCAATTGTGGCTTAGTAAACTGGGCTTGTGCATGTTGCAGGAACCAGCCTCACCTTGGTGTGCAAAACCTTGTGGGTTTGCTGGTTTGTGCACTGGGCCTTTGGCGTAGAGGTCTCTCTGGGTAATTGGCCCCACTTTGGAGGCCCTCTGTTGCTTCTGCCTGAATGGCAGAGCTTAGGGATTATGCTAAACCGTGGTTTAGTCACAGCTTCATGAATGCCTCCAACCCAGGCTCTCTGGTCTTCTCTCCTATGTTGGTTATCCAACAGCCTTCCCAAGTTGTGGTTCTCCAGAAAAGTTGAGCTTAAACTCTTGTCATGCCTAGCTGCTTTGCCTGATGCAGTTAGAGGGGCGTATTGGGGAGTGTTACATGCATGTTTCATTGCCGTCACTTGCATGCTGTACAGAGAAGCCTGGGTTGCCCCATAGCCTGGTGTTTATGTCTTCTGGAACAGATTTCTTCACTCTAGTGCTCTTCAGATGAGTTCCCTCCTTTTCCCTAAGCCAGCACTGTCTTTAACAAGTTGCCATGATATCAGAATGTCACATGCATCACGTTGTCATTGCACAAATGATGAAATTACGTAATTGCATTGTGATGACTCATGCAAGCACATACATTGCATTTGTATGGAGGCATGATGACATGTGTCATTTGCTTCCTCCTTCCCTGTAGATGTCAGTGCCCTCAACTGGTATTGTCCAGCCCTTGTGGGTTTCAGCGCCCATCATTCCTACTCTACATAAGTAGAGAAATTGAAGTCCAACACATCTGGTGGGCATCAGGTTGGTGAAGGCGACTGTAAAAGTTGGAGGTGGAGCAACTGGTAGGTGGAACTTTCCATAGCATTGCTGATCGAGCTTTTATTGTGTGATTTACACAAAAGCTTGGGCAATAGAGAAGTTTATTAAAAGCATAGCTGCTGGACTTGCTTCAAAAATTGGGAGTCTCTGAAAGTGGCAAGAAGAGCCTTAAGTAAGGTGTTTGAACATACCTGTGCTTTGGGAAAGAGAAAGTGATTGCTATCTTCTTTCACTAGTTTTGCTGTTTTGACTTTCAGAGAAGCTGCAATTGCCAATTCAGTTAATGTTATTATTTCAGTAATATCTGGAGGGCCACATTTTCTAGCCTGAGTGCATCAGCTTAAGCTTATTGGTTGTCTGGAACAACACGGGAAATTTTCTGGTGACATCTCCAGATGGAGCAGGGCTGAACATTTTCAGTCCAATTTTTAACCTACTGTCTAAACAAGAGCATAGACATGTTTCACTTTCAGAAATCTTGCATTTGGTAAACTGAGCCCTACCCATTCTCACCCTTTTCACCTGTCTGAATTGATAGTTGCACTCCTGATTTTCAGTGGTACAATGTCAACGTTGTGGAGACCACAAATGAGATTCATGAGCTCTCCACCCCATTGCTATTAAGGGGCACATGTACTGTTTGAGATGTTGGCAACTCTTTGAGGACCGAAGGACAGATTATGACTTGAACACTTTTTTGTTTTTATCTTTTATGAAGTCTTGAGTGGAGTTGGCAATTTTTCAGGGTATGACTTCAGCAGCAGCACAATGATAAACAGAAGTTAAATGCAAAACAACTTTGTTCTCTGGTATTTTCAGACTTAGAAAAACTTTCCTGATGCATTTCTGTAGTCTTCTCTCTAGTGAAGATCCAAGAATAATCTTCTGTCTGGAGGACATTGGGTATAAAACCTATTTGAATATTTTCTGCTTTGCCAATGATTGGGTATAGTAATAACAGCAATTAAGTTAGCTTTTAGAGGAAGGATTTAGGTTTCATCAACACATGTGAGACCTTTTAGGAAACCAGGAGATGCAAATGAAATTTCTAGTCAATAATACGTTGAACTTAGGGTATTTATATACTGTCCTTTATACATTACCTTAAGCTACAAAATGTAAAAACAATAGCATGCGATAAACCAATTAAAGGTAAAACATAATTTTCACAACAAGCAACTTGTAATTAAAACAGCAAAGTGGATACTCAGTGTTTTAAATTACAGGCTATTAAATGCCTAGCACTATTTGCAATGGAAATTCTGTTAATACTCTCTAAGACGCACACGTGGCATTGTGAACAGTAGGTAAACAATACTTCACATCTCTCTGTTCTGTGGCTGGATTCAAATTAATGTGGTTTATTTGGCTTAGCACAGTGTAGACAGTCAGTCATTGTGGTAAGCCATCATGGTCTAAGCTTTATATGGGAAGCCAGTTGTGCCATCTTCAGCAAACCATAATTAATCAAATAATGGATTATGTGAAGTGACCCTGTGACTTTGAAGTTAAGATCCTAATACGATTACCAGAAAAATGAACTTTCTCCATGTAAACATGATTGCACATGAATATAGTAATTTTAATTGCTTTATGGACATATAGTTCCATCTACCAATGGCTCTGCTGGACCCTAAAGTTGGGTTAGCAGTGGCCTTCTAACTGCTTTGCTGAGTTACTGTACTGCCTTTTGGTTCCTCAGCTTCCTGACCTGTGTCCTTTTAGCAGATCATGACAAAATTAGATTTCTTTCAAAAGTGGCACCTGAGAATTTTTTTTAAAAAAAATCCTTCTATTTTGTTGGTTTTTCAGATTTTTTTATCCCGCCTTTATTACTTTATAAATAACTCAAGGCGGCAAAAATGCATAATACTCCTTCCTCCTCCTATTTTCCCCACAACAACAACCCTGTGAGGTGAGTTGAGCTGAGAGAGAGGGACTGACCCGAAGTCACCCAGCCGGCTGTCATGACTAAGGTGGGACCAGAACTCACTGTCTCCTGCTTTCTCGCCTGGAGCCTTCACCACTAGACCAAACTGGCTTGTTTTACTTTTTTTTAAAATTCCAATAAAACATTAATAAATTTTATCTCAAAAGAAACAATGTCGAAGGGGAAATAAAGAAGATAATACACATAAATGTAGGCTAAGTGTAGTATTTAAAATTGTCCTGAATTTCTAGATTTTATCTAAACATTTTGTTTTAGTACTTGACTACAGCAATTTGCTGTAAACTGCCTCACTGGTTCTATGAATGGGAACTGTGGAAATCTTCTAATACAGATAAACATGCAACTTTATGTTGCATGACTTTCAGTGCAGGAAAGTAGTGCTGTCTTACATTGGGTCAGCTACTAGTATGATCATATACAGTGGTTCTGCAACAGTAATTGAGAGAACCAGTGGGTTAGAGTTGTTAAGATGCTGACCTACCACTTGAAAAACCCAGGTTGCAGTCCACCCTCACCGGTGGAATCTCAGAGGGTGACTTTGGGCCCGAGATACCTTCTCTGCACCAGATCTACCTCACAATATTGCTGCAGGAGAAATTGTGTGTCCTGACTGAATGCAAGATAGAATATCATACATTCAGCGTATGATATTCCTTTTATCTGCAGTTCTCTTAATGGGAACACCTGGGTTCAGACCTAAGGCTTTGTCACTGCATCAAATATACACTGGGGAACAATTAAAAAAAAAAACCCAAAGGCTTTTTTTGTATTTTTCTCTCTCTTGTTATTTTTTCTTCTTCTTTTTGATCTTTCTGTATTTTACTCTTTTCTGAAACTCAACTAAAAATTTTTTAAAAAAACCCCAAAGGCTAGAAGTCCTACTTTTTTTTTTTTTTTTTGATTCAGCATACCATGCTTGAAGTCATGATTACCACAGATGAACAGGGTTATAAAATCATGCATTTTATACTACAGAATCTATAACTGGGTAATAGAAGCAAGTAAGAAGTGTTTGCTACTCTTGACTGTTGTGTGCAAGGAAAGGAATAATTATAATCTCTCTGCCTTGATTAAATCTTACGGCTCAGTCAACTACAGAATGAAGCATGCTTAATTATACACGGTACAGGATTGGACTATGAAAAAAAATGGTTCCATGGTGCTGTATGATTGTAATTCTGAGTATGAATATGCAAGGTACTTGTTTCAGAATACGGAATATTGGTGTCTTTGGAGGGTTGATCCTTTTGGCCAAGACTTCAGAGCAGGACAAAGAATTCTCCAGTTGGAAAGAATACATTCTGTTTTATGTCTACAGATGCATATTGTAACATAGATAATACAGCAGTTAGAGGATTCAGGAGGGATGTGAAAGCCTGAGATCAAATTCCCATTGGTTGAGAAGCAGAGCATACCTAATGAAAGCCATTCTGTCTCACAGCTTTTAAGGATAAAATGTGATATTTAGAGCCTTATATACTTCCTTGAACTCTGTGTCTGCAATGTCTTTTTTAGTAATGCATTTTTAATTGTATTTTGTTTTGTTGCTATGACTATCAGCCTTGATTGCAATTTGTGGATGGAAAGTCTAATTATAAGCAAAACAAATAATAGAGTTTATACGGAATGAATGACTCAATCCCAGGAAAAGCAATGGTGTCTGTGTGGCAGTATTAAAGGGGAGGGATTTGTATACCTAGATCATAGATTGTGAGACCCAATTTTGATTTTATTTTGTGAGGGATGTTTGGCTTCCTGGCTATGGCCTTGGATTACAGTTTTTTTTTTTTTTTAATGATTGTCTGTGGTTCAATGCTACTAATGGGAAATCTTTTGTATGTGACTTGATACAAAGTGGTATGATGTGATACAAAGAGCTAGGCAAGATCAAGAATTTAACAGATTTCACTAAAGTATATTTAATGCTAGTCTGGAGGTAACTACAGAATTTTGGAAACTACAAGAGGAATTTCCCACCCTCACTTACAGTGAGTTCATTCAGGTGGAATTTTCCCAGGTTTCCTAGGCTGAGTTGTTCTTCATGAGATAAGCTGCCAACAAACTCATGTTCTGTCTCTTGATTTTTTATATCTAATCTTCCTTCCATTCCTTTCTCAGCTGCCCACAGTCTTTCACACAAAGCTGCTGACATTCACATTTGAATTAAGCCAGTCTTGAAATTAACACTTGAGTTTGGTGTCTATCCATCCTTTGCATTATGTGTTGGGCTTCATGGTTCTTCTCCAACTTCCTTTCCCAGATAATGTGGAAGGATATTATCCTGGAAATAATATTGTCAGTAGCACATTGTTTTCACTACTGTTATCATTATTTATTGTGCTTTTAAACTTTGCAATAATTTCAGTCCTCCAGCCATGCATATATCAATGGAAAGCATAAAGTATAACATAAAACTGTAATAGAAAAATAAACAATAATGCAGAATAGCGCTATAACCTAGATAAAATCTGCAGTAATAATAAATGCAGTTCATAAACAACAGAACTATCAGAATAAACAATGGCCATGTTCTCATGGTACACTTAATGTTAACATTAAGCCATGTGTAGTGTATTATACCACACAACCATCTAGTGTGTCCTGGATGTCACAATCACTGCTGGATGTAGTTTGCTAATTCTGTATCTTTTCAGTCAGTATTCTAGGAACCAGTTGGTATTTTCTAGGTTTATTTTATTTTCATTTTTTCCCCAAAAATAGCAGTAAAAATGTCACAGAGGCTTGTTTTGGATTGAAATTGTGACATATAAAATAATTACTTTTTGAAAAGAGATTCCTGGGTGCTCATGGAGATGAAAAATAAGATGGGAATAGTGGAGACATTTCTCTACTTTTAGTTGGTTGCTTAAGCATAAGTGACTCTGGAATGGGCTAACATGCTAATCGATATTAAATATAGGTACATATTGTGGATAATATCAATCCAAATGGGGTTGAACGTGGCAGCATCTGGCTGACTTTTTCTGGCTTGTGAAGCTAGAAAGGGTTGGTTCGTATCTGGATGGGATGCTGCCAGGGAATCCTAGGACCAGAGGCTGGAGTGGGAAATTA